GTTCAAAAGAAACTACAAGACTCAGAATGCACAAGACAATCAATTACATGGGTATCAGACAATGTATCTTTTGATGGACAATAAATAGATGGTAGTGCAAATTATGAAGTTTGGCAAAGTCCAGTAAGAATACACAATCCCTTTAGCACTTCCCTTTGTGGAAAGGATACATAAACTCAAAAGCTCACAGGTAACGGATCCAAGGGAAAAGAAGAACAGTGATAACTCATCTTCCATATTCTCAAATCAACAGCAGTAATTTACAAACTTTTTTATTTAAGATTAACAATGTTTAGTCCTCTATGCTTAGCATAACACAGAAAGGTTCAGTGCTCAAGGAAAACTTATGCTGGAACCTTAACGAGATCAGCAACCAGAGATAGAGAAATGCAGCAGAAAAAGCTCGAGATCAGCTATCACATGGGAAAAGACAAGCAATACCACAAGATACGAAAAGAAACAAATCTTATTAACTAGGTCTTCTTACTAAACTCAATAAATAACCCTGAAAAGCAGATTCAAAGAAAACAAACATTCTATCAGAGTTACGTAAACCTTAATCAACAATCTAGAACTTTACAGTGAAAATTCCTACATATCCAAATTTCGATTTATCAACATTACTCAAAATGGGAGAGGTAAGTCACCTTTCCGTGATGTACAGAAAGTCTTTCAAGAAGATCTTGTGTAGATGAGAAGAGCGCGAGACGAGCGGTGGAATGAAGATGTGTGCGTCTGTTCGTGAAATCGGACGACCGGTCGGCTCTGATGTGCAAATGCGAAAGGGAAACGGTGTGTCTGGTCAGGTTAATGGCGATGTAAGAGCTGGCGTTCTGCGAGACCGGCGCCGGCGGCTTTAAGAGGTGGTGGTTGAGTTGCAGGTGGCTCCGGTACACGCGTAAAAGAAGAGAATGGATCTGTGAGAGGCTCTGTTTTGGACCTTTTGGTAGCGGAGGGAAGGAGGAGATCAGCGTTTGCTCTGGAAGAAAATGGCGAATTCATTAGCAAGAAAGAAGAGCAGAAGGTAATAAATCAAGAGGGACCATCGACCGAGCTCGTGCCAAAATTTTGTTTACAGCTTATTGCCAGGGGATTGTAATTTGCACTAAAATTTTGGGTTCTCAACTAAATTCAAAGTTTCTTTTGAAATTAATATATATATATATATATATATATTATTATTATTTAATTTAATAAAAAACTAAGAGAATTTATTAAAAGTCTAAGGAAATTAAGTTTACACAAATTTTTACATAAAATTAGACGAAAAATTTACAAAAATTTCATATAAGATCAATGTACAATACTTTTTATTATCTTCTAGTTTAATTAAGCCTAAATTTATAAATAAATTTTAAAAATTTCTTTCTCTTCAGATATAGTTTTTTAGTTAAATTTGGTTAAACTTAATTTTTAAAATTCTGATTATAGTTTAATTTTTTTTTTATTTTTATGATAATTTATTTAATAATTTTTTATTTTTTATCATTTCGAAGAAGTAAAAAAAAATTATCTAATGAGAAATCATTATTTTTTCAAAAAAAAAAAAAATTTATAGTAAATTTTTGCATAGTTTTTTAATTTTTAATATAACAAAAAAATTAAAAATTAAAAACATAGAAAAAAAAAAGAAAATCTTCCATCCCTGTACCCTCTCTTGTTCACCTCAGATCTCATGATCATTGTGATCATTTGCATTATTTGCTGCTTCATTTA